CACGAATTTCCATGGGCATGAAATTTATCCCACGTTGCTTCAGCTCAGCGAGCGAGAAAGGAGAGTAAGCGGTAACTTATAAATAATAAGTACTATATATATTCTGCTTTAGTCATGCCAGAATCGATTAAGTATTTGGCCATGCTGTACAATGGAAACGCCCCTATGGCTGCATTTCGCCTTGACTCGCCTGATAATCGATTTTCCCATCTAATAGTTAGCAAGGGCTGCAGCGCCAATTATTATAATCACATGAAACATGAAAATATTGGCGGTAACTATGTTGTGTGAAAAATTTCGAAGAACTAGGGAACGTAATATTTTACCTGGGAAGCTTGCTTCCTTTCTTGAGCCATCTTTAAAGCGCTTTGCAGCGCCAGCATCACCTTGAACTTAGAATCACCCTCGAGTTGCTCTGCAGGGCATTTGTTTTCCTCTCTTGTTTCAACATCGCGTTGCAAAATTTCCTCCGCCAATGCGAGGCATCCACTAAGGAATTGCTCTCCCGATTCCACCTTCAACATAGTAGAGCTATTAAACCGATCCTTTAAAAACAGGAAGTACTTCAGACGACAACCGCTGAAGCATCGTGTTCTTCTCTGCCATCGCAACTTCCAGTCCTTCGTTGTCAAACTGTAGCATCGAAATTCTGAAAACAGTGGCTCCTTATGACTTTTGTGTCTGCCATGACAGAAACGAAATTTATTTATGATTAACATATAAAGTCGGAGAATTTCTGCGCACACCTTAGAGTGTATCGACATATAATTCTACATACTTAGCGTTCCAAATCTGAGGTCGAAATCTTATCAGAATTCGTAATTAATTCGTAAAAACGACTACTAACAACTGCTACAAATTTCTTGGCGATTTGCACCGTCGTCTACTGTAGAGGGACAATCAAGCAGGCCACGCCTCCAACGTATTTTAGCACATGTAATATCAAATGCACTTTGCGTGATTTTATTCTTTAGAGCCTTCTGGCACTTATTTCGAGCGATGTTTCAGGAGCTGGTGCTCCTGATGTGCAACCGCATAAAATCAAAGTACGTTCTGACATCGGAATGTAGCAGTACTTATAAAAGCACAGTGTTGACCAAGAATCTTTAGAGTGCGCCATACCAGTCTTGTGGTCAACTTGCTTAGAGATGATTCTTTTCTTTGCTTGACAATCTAATCTGATATTTTTCACATATTCTTTGCATATGCAGAAGACGTGCCACATTTTGTGCCTAACATATTTTTCCAATTTAATTGCAATATTTCTATTATCGTTTGTGCGTGTATCGAGTAAAGCAAATTAACTGCTACAGCAGAGAGAACCAATTTTCTTTCCAGTGGTTCGACCCTGTGAGAACAATGAAATGTACAAATGAGGAACAATTTCGACACAGAATCTGGGGCAAGTTGTGTCTGATCAGTAATTCATCATTGAATCTTTGCTCATCTTCCAAGGTACGGACCAACTAAAGCGGATATCATTTGAAAATCCACATTCATGGCACCGACTCTTCGATGTTGACAGCACTGTACCTACTTTAAACTTGTAACCCCCTAATTAATCACATGATTTATGAAATGATTCTTCAAGAATCTTCCCGGAAAACTGTTGTGTAGCAGCATGGATGCATACGACAAGCAATACGTCATGTTCATGAAATAGACGTCCGGACTCTGCGGAAGGTCGATGAGGCGCATCAGAAAGTGAGTGAGGTGCCTCAAAAATATATGGCATGTAGATCATTCCTGAAACAGTGCAACAACCCCTGAAATTTCATCAGATCCAGCTGAGGATTCCAATTTAATCTAAAATGACCCCTTTCTCGCTGTCGATATGATCAACCGAGAAAAGTCTGTCAAAATCAATGGTCACGAATGTGCAATCCAAATTGAAAGAAGAACTTCTATCATATTTCTGTAGTAGCAAGCCAATATCACAGGCCGCTGACTTTGACACGAAAGCACCTTCGAAACAGTTGGTATGTTTGTTTTTATTTCTTGACAGCGGGGAAGGTGTTCCATGTTGCTGGCTATATAAACACTATGTAAATCCCTCTTGAGGACTATGAGGCGACGACTGCCACGTAGTTAGCTTATTTCAGACATAAACGAGGCACACGCTTATCACTCGTACATGTCAGAGTTGATAGGCTGCTCGTCTGAATGTTGATTGAAAAGCAGACGAACTACAAAAGACTCGAGAAGTAAGTTGAAAAACAACTCACTACCTGCGGATCACAAATGAACAGTACTCCATTTTGTGGCAACATATACTTGGCTTCTGAGAGGATATGAGAGGAATGCGCAACCACTCACGCGCATTCTAGGAGCAATAAGCCGAGCCATATTATGACCATCTCCAATAAATGCGCTGGAAGCGTAATCTTTGTTGTTTCTACAACAGAATGTGCCTCCATTTTAAAGCTTCGACTCGCGACGTGAATTCCAGGAACAAAAGATGCTTTAAATACTGTGGTGAGCGCCTTGTTACCTTTCTAATGAACTAGGTCCTGATGAAATGTTGTTCGAGGCAGTGGCTTGTTGTTTCGAATCTTCTGAAGAAGAATCAGCGCATATCAGCACTTCTGAGTCAACAGCCTGCAGTCACAACCAGAAAAGTAATTGCTCAAAGCTTTCACTGGAGGTAAACCTCTACTTTAGACTTGCTTCTTTTTGTGATTCCCTTAGAAACGACTGTTCGCAAATATTTCATGTTCAGTCGATGGCAGGCGACGAACGTTTCTTTGGATACGCGGCGCAGTTCGCCACCGAAGCTGGACAAATTCCGAAACGTGAGCGAGCGGGCGTTGCTGAATTCGCGCCTCAACTGCTGTACCATCCTCCACAGTTCCAGAAAACGCCCGTGGTCGTTCCGCAGATGAGACACATAGCTCTAAACGCAACAGAAAAATTGTTGGTTGACTTCTTCGAGAGTTTACAGAAAATAAGGCTAAACAACTGCTACTAATTCGACCAATCGGTCGAAGACCTCAGACAAGTGCCACTAGGGTCTTTGCTCCAGGCACGGATTATCTTCTGCCGAAGATCAAATGATGGCAGAGAATCAAGAACGTTTAAGACACTGTCAGACGCGACTCAAATGGATAAGCGATCATCGAAACTGATCGACTGAATGGCATTTTCGAAGAATAATTATGGATATACATTTTTTATACAGTTATTTTTAATCGAATAGCCAATTGAAAGACGATGAAGAAGATTTAGCCAATTGACTAGAGACTCGCAAAATCTTCGTTCCCTTCCCACAAGCTGACCTCACATATACCCGCCGACATATTGGAAATACCTGATGAGTGCTTCTTCAGCAGATCTCCAACGTCTGTCTACAATCCGTCAAAACATGAGCAGTAGCGTCGCGCGTTGAATCACTCCCATTTATTTCTCAATTATTATTTTGGCTCATACCTGGTTCAGTATCTGTATTTTGACACTGTCATTATGGAGATCGTTTAAAAGTTTGATTTAGTACGTACCTCTTTCTCCCTCTGACATTTTAGGCTGTGTTCTTTGAATTCGTGAACCCACTGCTGCCATTCGATTCCCAAACGTACGATATCAGACACTAAGTTTT